GAATCACGTTTCAAAGATTTGATGAAACTTGGGTACAATTACATTTTATTCATGTGATAAATACTCTTTCGATAACTGACATCCCAATTATGAATATTGACCGTATGCAGTTAGCTAGAGTCGTGAAAACAAATTTCCCCTAGTCTTCCACCATATTCACTTGATCAAAGAGCAATTCCAAGTTAAGAAAAAATAAAGTTCAATATGTTGTGTGTTCCTTTTCTAGTACACTAATTTTTTGGGAAAGAAACATGTTGCAACATTAAGGGGGTAAGGATGGGTCTAATATCTCCTTTTCAGTTTCTTTTTAAAAAATTGTATATATACATTTTATTTTTTATACAATCATATATAATTTTTCATTAGTTAATTTAATCACAATAATCAATATTTTATATCAAAATTGAGTTTTTGTTCTTAAAATTGGTTTTTTTTTTCTCTCAAAAAATTGAATTCTTTCATGTTAATTTAATTTTTAAATACTATTAAATTTTTATACATGTTTTCATATAAAGTGAAAAGTTTATTCTTATAAATTTGAGATACATAAATTTGATATATTGATATAGACCTTATCAAATTAATAGTTAACTCATATAATTTTATTTTTTATAATTTATTTATCGACTCGAAACGTTTCATCTCTCTTTAATTTATTTTTACTTAATAAATAGAATTATATTTTAAACAAACAATTAGAGCATCCTGTATTTTATTTTATTATTTGACATTAGCAATATGTTTATTTTAATTATATTTTTAAATATTATCTAAATTTAAAATTTAGATAATATTTAAAAGTATAAATTAAAAAAAAAGGAAATTTTCTGCTTATGGTAGGTTTTGGGGGAGGATTTATTTTTCTAGGAATCTTAAGTAAAAAAATTATTAGTTTCCTATGTATGTAATTTAAAAGAAAAAAATATTCAGAAAAAAAACATTGATTCCTAAAAAATGTTTCTAGCTTATGTTTCACACAAATCTATTCTTATAAGGAAGTGAGAATCCATTTTTTTTTAATTGGAAGGAAATCATCTCATATCTTGTCCCAAGACTGTGCCTAATTTTTGACAACCTACCAAGAATTTTTCAAAAAATAAATTATACATTATTTATTATCTTCAAAATAAATGACGGCTATAAATCTTTCTTTGATATAACAAATAATAATAATAATAATAATAATAATAATAATAATAATAATAATAATAATAAATCTCTCCTATTTATTCTACTATCCGTATGCTCTTTTGTATAGTTTTCTATAACATTTTATTTTACATTATTTGCTATTTATATTTTTTGGAGTTAAAATTTAAATAGATGAAACAATATTGAATTAATGTAAGGATTTCTTTTTATATGTTAATATGAAAAGGTATAAAAAATCATGAATAAAAAATTATTAATATCAATAATGAAAGAAAAGTTAAGTTATAAATAAGTTGATCAACTTTTTTATTACTATGTTTTTATCTAAAATATTTATCAATTTTGTCAATGATGTAAAAATCCTTTTCCCCACTCGATGGTTTCTGTCTCCTGTCATCCTCACCATGTATACCCATACCAGTCATTTCTAATTCTGACAGCACACACCTACGCTCACACGTACGTGCGCGTCTATCTATCTATATATATATATTAAAAATATTTTTATACTAATATCTAAATATTTTATCTTAAACTAATTTAATTAGGTAAAAAAGTAAATAAAATATAATTAAAAATTACTTCCATTAAAGATTAGACGTGAACACTACTCAAACAATTCATCTTTCAATTCAGCAAATCAATTGTTTGTATCCAAACCCTTGGATATTAATAAGTAAAATCTACTCTGGCTATCTGAACCACAAACGCCAAACTGCTTTTCTTCGCCTCCATCACGTACACAGTTATTGTCATGCTTTATAATTCAAACAACGGTAATATACTTCTGTTTGGTGAATTGCCAACATATCAAGCAAAATATTCATTTCTAGCCAGCCAAAGTTATTAATATATTAAATATCCACCAACTTTATTAATCATTAAAATATCTCTCAAAAATCTAATTTTTAGTTAAGTTTCACAAGACTTAAACCAAAACTTTGCTTAAAATTTGTTGATATAGATAACTAGCTGAGATATGCCACTAATATTTATTTCCCTTTACCTTTATGGCTGAGTCTCCAACGACACACATAGACAGAGAGAGGGTTACTGGAGAAGAAAAATCTTGGTTGATACTACTATATGGAAAGTCTTGGCCTGTAAATTGACCCCATGGGACACTTCTCTTATAATTGTAAAGTACAGACAAACTAAAGTTATGGATAAACAAATCATGAAAGCCCACTTGCAAGACAACTTGCCATTCCAACGATTTCTTCCACCTTACAGCTCACTTTTCTATAATGACAATAGTAACTATAAACACGGGAGAAAAAAAAAACAAAGAGAAGAATATTAGTGAAGAGGCCAACTTGACGTTTTTTACGCATCAAGTTGAGCAACCAGGGCAAGTTGGTGTTAAGAGGTTGGTTTGGTTCTTATCCACCATACAAAATTAATACTCAAGTGTGACGTACACAATCCTTATTATTATACAGAAAAGGTCGAAATCACGTTCCCTTATTTCTATATATTAATTAACGTACCGTCTTCAGGGTTTCAATTCTGATGATGTCCATTCTTGACTAGTATATGGATTAAGTACTATGCTTTAGGGCAGGAAAAAAGATTATGAGAAGCTTCAACGAAACTTGTATCGGGCAATGCTCACCGTCACGCACCGACTGCACGATCAGAATAATGGATATACTCAAAAAAGTTGCATGTTATATGAAACGTGAAAAGAAGACTCATGTTTCGGTTTTTACTTGATACGTGTTACACTACTGCCGCTGGAAGCATGTGTTGTGCTGTGTTTAATTATATCTGTACATGAAAATAGAATCATATCATATATATAATATATTACTGTCTCTCTGAACCAAATGTAAGCTATTTAGGTAGAATATAATCCGAAATTATCTTTTTATACTAGTCTTCCAATTTGTTAAATGGAAATATTGAATATTTTATATTTTTTAAATTATTTAGCTTACAACTATGAACTATTATTTAGTGTACACTGAGAAATTACCTTTGTGTGTGTAATGAATTGACTCCTAATAAAATTGAATCTTCATTTTGTAAGTTGTACAAATCAATAAAAACAATACGCAGATTATCAAACCGGATACTGGGTCAGTGAGTCAAAGGTTGAACCGGTAGGTCACTAATTGAACCGCATGACTTAGTTTTTATTAATTATTTTTAAAAAATATTTATGTTAAATATATTTTATACTTATAAATTTTAATAAATTCATATCTTATTTTAAATTTCAATTTTCATCTTATTTAAAATTATCTTTATTTTTATTTTGTATAAAAAAATACATAAAAAAATACATGATAAACTGTATATTAATACAACTTAAAAATATAAATAATATGTATATATATAATATGTGCTTACAATTGATATTATAAAATAATATATGTAATATCTACATAAATATTATATTATTAAATATATAATTTAGAATTAATAATATATTATAAAAGTTATTTAAGTTACATATATTATAGACAAATATATTAGAATAAGGAGTTATTTTTATGCTTAATAAGACTCTTTGCTCTTCTATTAACAAATTCAATTATCATTGTTATTTTTGTGATTTGTGATCCTTTAAATTTTATTTTTTTTAAAATTATGGTTGAACCAGTTTGACCTACTGGTTCACTGATCAAATCGAAAAATTGACCGGTTCAATCCAGTTTAAAACGGATCGAATGCATAACCGATTCAACTTAAGATTTGAACCGGCTGTACCACCGATTCCCAGTTCAACCAGTCTGACCGGCCAGCCTGAGTTTTTAAACACTGATGTTAGGGACTAAACTAATAACATTAAAAAAATAATTTAATAAAACTTTGGATATATAGATCAAATTGAGAATATTTGACACATAAGAACTAAATTATATAATTAACCCTATTAAAATATTAAAAATAAATAATTAATATAGTTTTTAAATTTTTATTTTACATTTATTTTTAAATATTATATATATAATAAGTAATAACTTAAAAGTCTTAATCTCATTTAATAGTGAAAATATGATATAATAAAACAAATAAGATAATACAATGTAAAATATGTTTAAATAATAAAAATATCATTTCATTAAAATCATGTAAATTTAAAAAGTGACTTTCAATTTAATTGTTTAAATATAAACTAATATATATATATATATATATACTGTGTCATATTAATTATAAGTGTTATATTATTTACTATCTAATTTTCTGTTTATTATATATTTTGTTATTTTATATATTGTTTGGATAAATTTCTTTAATAAATTAAAAAGAAAATGAGAGTTAACTTTGTCATGTAAGTTAAAAATAATGAGTTTATTGTGGTATCTTGTTCTTTAAAGATAGCTTATACAAATAATTAGTTTATTATGGTATCTTGTTCACTAAAGTGGCCCTTAATAGTTGAAGATTTATATATAGTTTCTTGTTCAAATTGTAAAAATTATTAATCCTGAAATAAAAAAAATTATTAACCCTGAAATATTCAACAGGCCACTATAATATATAATGTATTGACATTTTGTTATATTCAAGCTCTTATTTTAATATTCAAATATATTTGCTTAGTGTAATAGTTAAGGTTTTTATACATGGACTTGCACATCTTCCATGGTTTGAAATCAAAACTACGTGCTGCACATTTATCAATCAAAAGACTCTCATTTCACAATTTTACCCTTATAAAACTTTATACTTGTAATTCAACACAATTTCGTGATTGTGTGCAGATGTAAAAAAAAAAAACTAATTAAAAAAAATTGCAGATCGCAGTTGGTAATTAAAATCGACATAAAAGAGAATCCATAATGAAAGGATGAAAATCAAGAGAAGTTGTAATTAAGCTAATGATAAACAAAATATAAAACTATAAAATCAATCGAGACCATAATTCAAATAGAAATGATTAATCTCTGCTACAACTTAAAAAGGATTTACAATATTCACAGAACAAGATGATCCAAACACTAATTAATGACCATGGATACAACAACGGCCAAAGGAATTGGGTGCAAAAGAAGCACAAGAGGTCCTGAATCAGACTCAACAGCAGAATGGAAAAACAAGAGAAGAAACATAATATATGATATATATGAACATAACATGAATCATATATCATATATCATATATATTATATGTCAGTATGTCACATTCGTTTCAACCATTGGCGTCTGAACCTCCTTGAGTCCTCCAAAAACAAATAAATCCTTAGGGTGTGGGTACCCACCAATTTCCAATTTCCAATTTCCAATTTCCAAAAAAAGTGTTTCAGTAGTGTTGAGTTGCCATGTTTTCAGCGATCTGAGCGAGGGACTGCAAATTGCAGCGTAGGATGGTGTCCACGAAAACGCAAGTCTCCTCCTTAGTGTTACCGGGCGGTACGTCAACCACGTAAGACTCGATGACAACTGTCCCTCCGTTGCCGTCACCGTGGAGCGTGGTAACCGACCGGTAGTTTCTCAAGCGGTGGTCGCCGCCGACCACGCTGAAGCTCATCACGTGGCGCTCCTCGTCCAGGATCTCCAGGCGCTCCGTGCTCGACGCCGCGGGGAGGCCCGACACCACGCGCACCTCGCGCACCGCCCCCACGCGAATGCCCTCGCCCACCACGTGGCAGCTCTTCACGAACTGCTTGTACCCCTGCGGCCTGTCGAACCGCCGCACCACCGCCCACACGGCGGAAGCCGGCGCCGCGATCGATTGGATCACGGCCGAGCAGCACTGGTTCGGCCCCACCGCCTGCGCGTGCTGCCGCGCCACGGCCTCCGGGACCGTCGTGGGTTTGGCCGCGAAACAGCGCGCTGGCGGCGGCGCCGTCTTGGGACAGCTGGCTGCGGTGGATGCGGGGTTGAACCGGTGGAGTTGAAGAGGACAAGTCATTTTTAGTTGATACAATGAGAATCTCAAGAACAATAATAATAAGTAACGAACTAACGATACAAATGTGTTTCCCTAGATTTCTCTCCTCTCCACCCAAACAAAGATATTAGTTTTGTGATGTTATGTTAAAGTGGTTTGTGTTCAAATATTGTTTGTGTGAATAAGCAAGCAAGCATATATATGTGGAGGCTGTGGAAGATGAGAGACTAGTCTTGGGTTAAGTGGAGAATTTCTTATCATTCTCTATAAATCACTATAGTCTTTTTGAATAACAAGTATATATAATTAAACAAAAATCTATTATTTTTAATAAATATATATTAAAAAGATATACTCCTAATCTTTTTCTTTTAGTTAATATTTCTGTAATATTATATATACTTTTAATGTTATTTTCTAATTAAAACAACATTAATAATAAGTTTTATTGTTGTTTTAATTAAAGTTGGTGTCTCTGTTTTTAAGGAGGCAGGAAGCTTACGCAGGGCGTGCAAGTGGATCCTCAACTTGCAACTGTCCTTTAAACCAGGTTTTCTCAATTATCCCATTTCTTTATCCCAAACTCCAACTTTGCCACTCTATCTACTATTATTTTTTGTTAACTTGCTATAAAATATTCTTTCTTAATCCACCAAACTTCGCTTTGCCCTCACCGTCTCACTCAAACTTATAACTATTCTTTTTTAAATAACAAATACTGTTTTTTTTAATTGCCATTTTGATCTTCCTTGTTCAATTTGATTGACCCTAGATGTTACTAGTGTGTCCTTTTCCTTGTTTCTTTCCTATTTTTCTTTTTTTTTTCTTTCTTTTCTTTTGCTTCACTTTTCCTTTGTATATAAATCAAAAGTTCTTCGTAATCAAATTTTTTAATCTCCTTTTAAGATATGAAAATCGATTTGATATACTCAAATTCAATTATTATTGGTATTGAAATAATATTTCATCAATAAAAAATATATTTTATAAATATAGATTAATTTTTAATTATTATTTTAAAATATTATATGAATTATTTATATATACATATATAAAATAAAAATAAAATAAAAAGTCGTGCATGAATCTTGGAATATCTTTGGAAATAGATCGTGTTTGAAAGAACAGTCTAGAAACTCCGGCATATGAACAAGTTGATAGCGATATTGTTCAAGTGGTGTGTATATATAATTTTTTATTGCAAATGATTTTAAAATCGGATGATATTTTTCTCGCGGTTACTTTTGACGTAAAGAACCTAGTTGGCGTGATCAGCAAATTAATACAATATTAACTATATCATATAGCAAAAGTGTATTTATTTTTCTTCATAATTCTCTTTTAAACGAGATCTTTTATTTAAAGGCTATTCCTATATTTTAGGTAACATATTTTGTGTCCACCCTATAATTATTCATATATATATATATAATTGATACGTCATTTAATATGTTATTAAATATTATTTATTTATTAATAATATAATTAAATTTTTAATAATAACTATTTTAATTTTATCTTTATTTTTCTTTTTTATTCAAATGTTTTTTATTCTTTTTAAATTCAAATAATTATTTTACAACATCTTTTTTAAAATTTTAACATTGAATATATATATATATATATTAACATTGAATAAATATTTTTTTATTTTTTTATTATCTTTTTTTTTATAATATTACTTTCTACTATCTTTTTATAACTTACTTTATACTATTTTAAATTATTAAAATATGATAATTACAGTAATATTTTCTATTTTTAATTTATAATATTGATCTACTATTGATTTTTTATTTGAATTATATAAATAGTCACAACAAAATCTTTTTAAACAGTTATTTTTTTAAAAATCAAGATATTAATCAAAATATAAAAAAATTTCTAAACTTATTTCAATTTCATGTATTATAACTAAATTATATATATATATATATATATATATATATACTAGTATTTTTTTGAAATTTATAAAACTTCTTAATTATCTTTATTTTTATTGGTGGGTTAAAATATTTCGTATCTCTAATAAATAAAATTAAAATTAAGTAATAAAAATATAGTGGTCTAATTAGAGCTATAATTAGTTCATTAATTTTAAAGTCTCGAATTTGATAAAAAAATTATTTTTTTAAATTTTTTTAAAATAAAAAGATATAAAAATTCATAAAATATGGAGATGAATGTGATTATCAAAAGGGATATTCCCTTTATATTAATATATGTGATGATAATTTATTAATATATATGAATTTTTTATTATTTTTATTTTATAATATATATATATATAATATTATTTTAATTATTAATATATTACTATTATAATAATATATTTTATAAATAAAATATATAATATTTTATTTATAAAATTATTTCTACCTAATAATGTTTATATTTATTATTAACGTTATATTTTTACTTTAAATTAATTGCAAAATTATAATATGTTATTATTTTCTTAAAAAAATTAATCAATATTTTATTATCATTTTAAAGATATTTTAAATATTTATTATAATATTAATTTATTGTTCTTAAAAGATATTAATTTTTTTTTTCGTGGATAATTTGAATTCGGATTATTTAAATTTAGTTTAAAATTAATTTTTAAAAATTAATTTTCATACTTGTATAATAATTTTTTATGTATTTTGATTTGAATAATTTATTTTATATTTTTAAATTTAAAACATATTAATTTAAATATTTTATTTTAAATTTTAATTATCAATTTAAAATATCTAACATATTTTATGTAATATTTTGAAATTTTATTTTTATAATATTATTTTATAATTCTAGAAACAAATTACTATAATGTGTGAAATTCTTATTATTTATTTTACTTTACAATATTGTCTTGCTGTTATTTTTTTAGATGTTTTACCATTAAATTAGAACTGTAGTAATTTTTTCATTTTTATTAAGAGTTTTGTAATATTTTTATTTTATTAGTATTGTTGTCTTCGTTGTTATTAAATTATTATTTTTAATGAAAATAATAATATATAATTTTAATATTATAAATGCTAACGAACACTTTAATCAATATTTTAAATGTATTTATGAAATTTTAAATATGTATTATGATATTATTTATAAGTTTTAAAAACAAAAAAAATTACTAAAACATAACATATTAATAATCTAAAATAGTATAAAATAATATTATAAAATAAATATAATAAAAATTATAAAACTAAAATTTCTATAAAAAATAAAAAATATATAAACTCATATATGTTCAAGTATCAAGTATAGATATTAGTATATTTATTCTATTTTTTTAATAAAAATACAAGAAATTAAAATAATTTTAGAAAATTGTATTTTGATTAGTATTTAAAAATAAAAAATAAAAAAAATAAAAAATAAAATAACAGCAGTTATTCAAAATAATTAGTTGTGAAAAAATTATTTAATTTTATTCGCATTCAAAAAAAAATTTGAATATAGAAAAGTAAAGATAAAGGTTAAAAGAGTAATTAGAAAATTATAAAAATTTAATTATAATATTAACACATTAATAATATTAAATGACATATTAAATATTTACCAAAAAAAAATGAATATTAAATGAGATGTCAACTAAATACAAGTTACTTTATACCATTGGATAATAATAAAATTTCTAGAAAACATATCAAAACATCTTTTATATATATATATATTAAAAAAAAAAGTAATAGGTTTATTTAAAATATAACCCCGCTTCTTATAAATATCTTAAGAGTATCTGTAATGGAGGTTGCTTATAAACAATCTCTCTACCACATCACTGTCACATCAGCTCTGACCCACTTTATGGGTTGCTTAAATTTTAGCAGAGTTATTTATAGAAATAACTTTGCTAAAATTTAAGCAACCTCATAAAGTGGGCCAGAACTAATTTGACAATGATGTGACACAGGGTAGCACAGGAATTGCTTATAAGCAACCTCCATCAGAGATGCTCTAACACTCTAACACGGATTTAACTAGATTTCATTATTTTGTAAATATTTAAGTCCTTTTACTATAACCAAATCTCAATTATATAAATGTTTAAGGTAAACTTGAGTTAACCGACACAAGATTGGATTCTAAAAGTTAAATGTGATATATTTTTAAAGTGAGTTCAGGTCATATTTTAAATTATTCTAATTTAATTCAATATAATATTACTTTAAAAACATGTAATAATAATCATTACATTGATTGAATTGAACTATATTTTTCCTTAAGTTAACTAAAATTATTATATATATTTAATAATCAAATTATTTATTCGAATAACATCTATCGAATCCATATTACTTTTTAAAGTTAGAATATACTTGTCTTATAAAAGTTTGAATAACGTTTCTTATAATATATGATTTATAAATGTTTGATTCGGTAATAGATCATGTTTAATTATTTTTTATCTAAATTTTTACTATAACTGCATTTTAAATTTTAAATTTGACATGTGTGCATGTGGATGGACGAGCGAGCGGACTTACGTGCAAAATATATTGAACAATACTTATTTAATATTTAATCAAATTTATATTTTAATTAACTTAGACAATAATAAAAATAATATAATTTATAACTATTCATTTAAATATATAATCTAAAAATATATTAATATGATATATATTACTTTTCTTCAAATTGAAATATATATGATACTAAATGCAAAATATAATAAGTTTCTTAAAAATATATATATATAATATAAAAATATAACTTAGATTATAATTCTATGATTCACATTGAATTTCTAATTAAATTAGAGATAAATATATCAAGAGCATACCACTATGATCAATCTAGAATCAACCTAGTAGTAAAATGTTATAATAATATGTATAGAATCTTAAATTTGAATTATAGTATTGTTATTGTAACTCTCACTAATAAAAAAAAGTATATTAGGAGCCTTAGGATTGTTATCATATATCAAAAGAATTAATATGAACATATAATTGAAAAATCAATCTAAAATATTTATGTAATAACTTAATGTTATTAATTTTGCGTCTATTTATAGAAATAACTTTGCTAAAATTTAAGCAACCTCATAAAGTGGGCCAGAACTAATTTGACAATGATGTGACACAGGGTAGCACAGGAATTGCTTATAAGCAACCTCCATCAGAGATGCTCTAACACTCTAACACGGATTTAACTAGATTTCATTATTTTGTAAATATTTAAGTCCTTTTACTATAACCAAATCTCAATTATATAAATGTTTAAGGTAAACTTGAGTTAACCGACACAAGATTGGATTCTAAAAGTTAA